AAATTGTGAGAGTTTAACGCATGATTCACTGACGTACATTTTAATGCTTATTTAGTTAATGCGCAACATTAATAACTTATAATGTCAAAAAGTACTAATATCTACCTAAAAGTATCCTGAAGTTGATATTAAAAGGAAGCTGGAGTTCCTTATCGACACTGTTTTGCAATCTTCAGAGACCAATTCTTTCTTCAAAACTTGATATTCTATGGGTACTAATTGTGTTTCTTTATTGGCTGACCTGTTTTAATGTTTCTAATATAATATTTGTAGAATGTAGAATAATTATAATGTTTTTAGAATCGGAATATATTTTAAAAAAAAAAACTTTCCTTGACAAGAAGAAAACACTTGCTGTGGAGTTCAAGTCAACATTTAGATACACTAATGACGTATGATCAAGTAACAATAGTTACTTTAGTCCATATGTCGACTCTATATATCCCAATGATCTTTAAATTAATGTCACCGATGAATGTGCCACAACTGATTCATGTTTAGAAGTTTTACTGACTATGGAAAATGAAGGCGAGCTGAAACTATACTGCATAAGAAAAGAAATCTTATGATTTCTTCATCTTTACCAAAGTGAATTTTCCTTATTCCTTATGACCTCAACAAGATGAAAATTGACCCTGTTGAATATTGACCCCTTCAACTTTCCTTATTTGTAAAGTAATATTCCGCTATCACCTGTTTATGTTATGGCGGGTAAAACGTTGCATTATTATACTTTTTAGGTCACCTGAGTCACTCAGGTGACCTATTGCTATCCGTTTTCGTCCGTCGTGTGTCGTGTATCGTGTGTCGTGTGTTAACATTTGAACATTTTCAGCTTCTTCTCTGAAACCCATTTCAATCAAATTTAGTATACAGCATTCATGGGTGAAGGGGAACAAAAATTGTGAATTTTATGGCCCCAGCCACCTTGGTGCCTAAGGAGTGGGGCCAAAACCATTAAAATTAATGAAATCTTAAAAAATCTTCTTCTTTACTCCTGGACATCAAGCAGTCAAACTGTTTGCATGATTGTAATCAGCATTGAATCCTCTACCAAAATTGTAAAATTCATGGCCCCAGGGTCAGGGGTTCTGGTGTTAGGGCGAGGCTCTATTGATCATATAGTGAAAATGCATTAAATATCTGAACATCTTCTTCTCTGCTCTGGGGTATTAAATAAACTAACAAAGTACTTAGTTATGATGAGCAAGAGTTCCTCTTTCAAATTTGTGAATTTCATGGCCCCAGGATCAGGGGTTCTGGTGTTAGGGCGGGGCTCTATTGATTATATAGTGAAAATGCATTAAATCTCTGAAATTTTCTTCTCTGCTCCTGGATATTAAATAAACTAACTAAGTACATAGTTATGATGAGCAAGAGTGTCTCTTCCAAATTTGTGAATATCTTGGTCCCAGGGTCAGGGCTTCTAGTGCTAGGGCGGGGCTATATAGATTATACAGTGAAAATGCATTATTTTTTCTCTTGTGATCCTGGGTATTAAATAAATTAACTAAGTACATAGTTATAACGAGCAAGAGTGCCTCTTCTAAATTTGTTAATTGCGTGGCCCCTATGTCAGGGGTTTAGCTATTTGGTGTAAGGAGAGGGGGCTCTACATTACATTAATTCTTTGAATTTTTTTCCTTTGCTCCTGGGTATTATGCCAATGATATATATATATGTTAAACTCTCACAATTTCCAAAATACTAAGATTACGTATTTTTAGTTAAAAATAAATGACAAATCCCTTAGACAAGAGACCCATTGTTTACCCCCCTCCCCCTATATCGGCTATACTACTCACCAAAACTTTTTCCTAATTTTTTACGATTCCCCAAAATTAACTTGAAATGAATGCCGATGATGTAAAGAGAGTGTTTAAAATTAACTAAGTATTCACATTTTTCTTTCTGTTCTTTCTCCAAATATATTTAAAAGGTAATTAAACTCCAATGTTAAAAACATAAAAAAAACGAAAGGCTCTGAAGAGACTGTAGCTCTATTGGTCTGTTCATGTAAAGGAAAAGTAGCATTTGTGTTTGACTTCTCAACAGGCAGAAACAAATAGAATAATATATTTTTGAAATATACTTGTGTGCCAAATTATATTTAAATCAGAGAAAAAATGTAGAAGGAGTTCGTTTAAAAAGAATATTTAACAGAATTTATTTTGTTACCATAGCAACCCCGTTCAACGAAATTAAAAATGGATGACCTTAATTATGTATCTAGCGTAGTCTACTTGTGTGTCAAGTTATATTGAAATGTGACCAAACTGTAGGAGGAGTAGCATTTAAAAATAACTTCACAGAAATTTCTATTTTAAGTAATCATGGCAACACCGTTCATGGAAATCAAAAATTGATGCACTCAGTTATCTTAGTGTAGCCTAATTGCATGTCAAGTTATATTGAAATCAGACCAAAACTGTAGGAGGAGTAGCCCTTTAAATGAATTTCATAGAAAAATTCTATTTTTAATAACCATGGCAACGCCGTTCATCGAAATCTAAAAACGGATCCATTAAATTATATATCTAGTGTAGTCTACTCGTGTGCCAAGGTATATTAAAATCGGACCAAAACTGTACGAGGAGTAGTATTTTGAAGAATTGTTTACAGACAGACTGACAGACAGACTGAGAGACAGCTGGACAGCTAGACGGACGACAGACACCCTACTATAGCATAAGCTCTTCTGGTATCTGACCAGAAGAGCTAATTTTAAAACGAAAACTTATAAAAATTGTAATCTATTTTAAACGCCATTCTATAACTGTTTTGCTGTACCCTAGCTGCATCTAAGATAGAACACTAAAACTAAAAATTTTAAATATAATATTATTACTCAATACATATAATTAAACAATATCTTATAAGTAATATTTTTGCTTTTTAAATAAAAATTACACCAACAAAGAATAAGAGAATATACTCATTGAATTATAAATACACAGAAATTATATCTCACAAAATGTTGTATTGACCTGCCCGTGACCGTACCTTCAGGTCAATTATAGGGTTATTTTTGCTCGCAAGCTCGTGTATTTGTACAGCCAACATGTGCAAATAATCACCAATATCAGTTCAATAACTCCTTTATTATACAAATATGGACTCAATGTAGGTCAATATGCATTTATAATGACCCAGGATGACAGATATTGACCGAAGATACATGTAGTATATCGACCGAGGGCGCCAGCCTGTCATCCTGGGTCATTATAAATGCATATTGACCGTGCATTGAGTCCATATTTATTATATTATATAAATATTTATTTCCCAAATTCATCAGTGCAATGTATATTATCCTGTTATTTATAGAGATAGTATTAATAATAAATCAGTTGAATGTAAATGTTTCAGAATTTATTGAATATTACTCAGAGGAAATTGTTTCGGCAATAAATTTTAACCATATCATAATAATGATGCAAGATATCTATCTCCGAATAACACAGAGTACCCCCTCCCCCAGATTGAAAATCACTCTCGTTTACACTTGCAGGGGAACTGCACTGAAAAAACATAAATACCTATGTCTTCTAAGAAAAGATACGATCTTACATGGCATGCTTGTCTTTATTTTCTTTAGTCTTCGTAATCGCGTAAACAGCGTCAAATCTCTGCTCGCTGAGTGGAAAGGTCGAACTCAACCATGAAATGGTATGTGATAATTATTCCCGAAAAATATTCATAGATATCCTTATAATTGTTAAATGTATTATCAGTCTCAGAATTCTTCACTATATCTTTCAAATTTTCCTCACCTACAACTTGCGAACTTCCATGTTTGTCTAAAGCGAAAGTGAAAACGAGGCAGCTCGTGCGAGTCATTATTCGCTTTCAGCGGTCGTTATTAAAAAATAAGTACTTCGTATTGACCAATCAGATTATCGGATTTCACAAAGTTATATAATATTATAATATAATATATATTATAACTAAAACATTTCCTCATATAATTTATAATCATTATTCCAAGTAAAAAAAATCAAAATTTAATAATTTTTTGTATCGGTATTCAAATTAACGCTTGTCCTGTAGGTTTTCAATATCATACCATTACGATGTCCTTAACGAGCGTAATGATAAGCTTATTTAGGTTTTATGGGGTCTTATACGTACTAAATTTTTAATAATTAATTTCATTTTTTATGTAAAAAAATAAACAAGTCTTAACTAGATGCATATCTACTTCATTTCTTAATTTTAGCTCCAAGAATTTGATCAGACGACTTTTTTTTGTTTATACAAGTCAACAGGACGTTCGATATTGAACGCTCGTATTCGGAATAGGGGGGGGGGGGGTCATTTACATCATTAAAAGTGGATGGGCCAATCAGACTTTTTATTATTATTTCCTATAGTATAAGTAAGGTTGGGAAAAAAGTGGGGGGGGGGGCAACCCCTGCTGCTGCGCCTCTGTAAAACTTTCAATTACAGCAAACATAGTCTTGTTGGAGTTTAAACATTATCAATTTTAACTATTGTTTTATCAAAAAATAAAACATCGAAAATGTGAAAAGTTTAAAGACGGACAGACAGACAGGTAGACGGACGGACGTCGGACAAAATGTGACCAGACGTCCAGAGAAGCTCGCTTGAACCTTCGGCTCAGGTGAGCTAAAACACCTAGAATGACTGATATGATTTTATGCTGAGAAATATCAGAATTGCATCGATGTGCATACTAACGATTTTTTTTTCTGTACAAAATTAAAACCTCTTACGACTTTTTGAGGGGTGGGCATGGGTATGTTTTCCGATAAAATCAAAGGAAAAAATAGGACCCTCCAACCCTCCCACCCCCACCATTTCGCCCCCGACCGAAATCCACAATTGTCTTCTTAGTTTCCAAATCAAGGCTCTAAATGATTGGGAAAAAACAGATGAATTGAACTTTATTCTCGAAACGACTTCGCTTGACTCAGGTCCCATGGCGTTGTGTGGCGGATTTTAACCTTCCAAATAACAAAACGAAAGTAGAATCTATTTTTAAATATCAAAGTTATAGATGCCACCAAAGAATGTAGCCATTCGTTGTAAGTGTTTTATAGATTGTGTTTATGTGTTTTGTTAAAAATATTATGTCATCAATACTATAATTCATATCATTCTTCTGATTTATATGAACAGTATCAAAACTAAATATAGAAATGCTCCTGAGACTCAGTAAAAATGCAAATGAATCATGTAGGCCTATATGTATTTAATAGAACTCTTTTTGTGTCTGGGTCATGTTATTATTAAAAGGCCGGATGTGTGTTCAGAATTTTACAGTTCAAAAAGACTGCTTTCATTCTAAGTCTGCACTAAGCTGACTTTGATGATCTTGTTACAGTTCTATTATTAATCCAAGATACGCCATGCAATTTACAGTGAAGAGGCGGATCTTAATGGTGGCTTATTTATTTAAAATATATTCATATTTGTGATTCTCTTATGGTTTCTATATTGTTTTAAAAAAGTTTTTAAATGTAAGAACACCAAAAATTGTGTCATATGCCATTTAGAAGATTACCCATAAGGGCATTATAAGAAATATGACTCTATGGTATCTTAGCCAAATGCCTGGTAAGGTACCCTTATTTTTTGTGAGGAAACTTGTTTAAGTACCTACACTTCATAGACAAATTCTAAGGAAAAATTATATATTTTTGAGGAACGTGTCGTCTGACCTTAAATTGAGAAAAAAAACAAACTCTCTTTTTTTTTAAAATCATAATTATAAAATACTTAATTTGTGAATAAATAATTTTATTCGAAGGAGACATAGTTCTATGTTATTTCCTACATGTTCCACAAGCCACATTTTAAAATATTTTCAGGCACGTCGTTTTTGAAAGTGGGGGGGGGGGGCAACCTGAGAAAATTTTTTTTAATTGCCGAAAAAAAGTTGACAAGCAAAAAGAAAAAAAGGAAATTAAGAAAATTACCCAAACTCGAAAATCCTATTTCGTGGGGGGGGGGGGGGGGGGGGGGGGGGTAGTGACCAACTTTTTTCAAGGCAAACTTCCTTTCAATTTTCTTGCTATATATATACTGTGGTAAAAAGTGGGGGGGCCAACTATCTTCTCAATAGACATTTTCTATAGTAAAGGTAATGTTGGGTAAAAAAGTGGGGGCAGGTCCCCCCTGCCCCCCCCCCCCCCCCGGATACTACATGCCTGATTTTTTATTTTAATTACAAAGGAATGGGCACATATTCTAAACACTTATGACGCCCTGTCCCCAAATATAAATTACAAAAATTAAACAAAAGCCCCGGCCCTATATTTCTTTTGTTTCTTTATTCCTCACTAAAATATTAATAGCTGTGAAGGAGAAACTTCAGGAGAATTAACTTTGCAACAATTAATTGGGTAACTGGTTTGAATCAGATGTGGTTGTTAAATTAGGTCACACCTGAATAATTACATTCAAGGTATTTTTTCTACACAATTCAAAGATTTATAACCAAACAACATGTAATGTATGAATTTTTTTTTAGATTTCCAAGATGCAGCTCCACCTTCTCGTTAACATTTTTGGGTCTTTTCGGAAAAGTAAATCTTCAGCGTTTCTACTCAGTTTCGGATTCCGGAGTCAGGAGTGAATGAAACAGTCAGTGTGGATGACAATTTGACCATATATTTTAATGGTCACAGAAAGTAACATATTTTATTCATTTAAGCTAAAATAAGATAACCATTTAATACTTATTTATTAAGAAAATTTGATTATTATGAATGAGCATTAGAAAACAATATATCAATATATTCATGGAGATACTATCTTTCTGCTACTTTCTGTTACTTTTTCTGTTAGTTTAAATGATTGCTTTACGAATATTATCTATAATAAGATAATACATTATCCCATAATACAGAACCATGAAAAAACAATGTAATTGTTACCATCTGTAAATTTACCCCCTCACCCCTTTAAATTATACAAAATAAATATAATGTATTATGCATGTATAACATGTACATGTATAATAATAATATTTTTTTTTGTAGCTCAAACGAACAATCTCAATATGGTACTACATGTGAGCGTGTGTTTTGTGATCTCTCTAATGGTAAGGTTTTTAATTTGCTATCTTACTGAAATATAAATGTAGACATTTTGGTCCTTCTTAGAATCAAATATCTGATAATTTTTCCCTAACTAAATTTTTTTATATAGTCTAATTATTTTGAAATATGCAATTAGGCGGATTATATATATCACCATTTTCATTTGAAATATAGAGATGTTTTCTGATCTGAAACTCAATTGTAAATTATATCCTCGTTCAACATTTAAAATGACAGCTTTTTTTATTCATTAGAACAAGAATTAAAAAAAAATGAAGAAGAAATAAAACGTGTTCACCCTTACAGATTTTTGTATTATTAATATATTCTTAAAAAAATCTTATTATATATTAGAAATGCAAAATATTTACTTCTTCGTCATTCATGTTAAAATAAGTAATGTTTCCTTATCTACTATATAAGTTTAGTTATGAGCTGTTGGTGTCCTCTTGCACGCATCACAGTGACGATGTCGACATAAAAAGACATGAAAACTCTATTACAATATCCCCCCAAAACGGGAGCATTCCTGAACCAAGAGACCTTTCTTTAATAATTGTATTAACTAAGTAAATTTAGTAGTAGTAAAACTAGCCATTGTTTTCGTTGTTTCTGTACATTATACTGTCTATAATCTATGCTTCATATTGATCTATGCATTGTTTAATTTAAGTGGCCTTCACTATGATTGTACTGGATTTATATTAATCTTTACAATATATATGAATTAAGAATGCATGTATGTCTTTCTGTCTCCCGTACCCGACTTTCTTATGTAATCAACTATTTCTATTAATATCTTAAACTCATTCAATTTTTTATGACTTTTAAAGAAGTGAAACAGCAAAAGAATAGCTTCATTTTTCAATTAGAAATAGTTCTAGGAGCCTACAATATTTTTTTTACTGAGTAATATGTGTTTATCTAATACTCTTGTCTATATCCAAACAAACTATTGTGAGTTGTTTTTTGGGTTTGTTTGAATGAGATATTTCATTATTATTTTTTTTAATTACTGTTAAGGTTTCATGGACGGACGCCTTTACGGAAAGCTGTAATGCCTCTTTGTTGACCATTAAACACGTAACTGAATGTCCAACCGACAAAGAATCATACGAGAAGGCAGAAAATATGAAGAACTGCAGCTCTATTTCTGAATCATGCAAAAAAAGAGTCCAGTACCATTGTGTTTTAAATTCAGAACTAAATGGGTTGGTGGAAGTCTGCGCAACATCGATTAATATATTTGGTATTTATCGCTGACAAAATATGATTAATAGTAATAATTGATAATACACTATCAAATGATTCAACGTAATCATGTATAATAATACAGTAGCTATAACTTTCATCTCTTATGTTTTACATTTAACAAGGTATGCACGAATACATTACTAGTAATTTAATTTCCTATCATTGAACTTTACAATCAGGTAGAGCATGTGCTAAGTTTGATGAAAATCTCAAGGGTATAATAAGAGTGGATGGTTTGGAATGTCAGAATTTTTCGTCACCATGCCCAATATCTTACAATTCAACTGAAACGTACAAATGTAAGTACGACAAACAATAAAAAAAAACTGTTCACTATAACTATTGTAGGTCGAATCCTCCAATTATGTTAAAATGAAATTGAAATGTCCTTAATATTGTAACAAAAATACATCATTTTTCTCGTGGGAACATATGTTTAATAGACATTACTTTAAGTTTATATATTTACCAGATAACACAATGATAACCATAGCATACAAATGCAATTCTTTTTCTAATTCCTGTAGATCCTGGGTGTTTTGATGTTCGTTTGACGACTGTTTCAACCTTTACTTCAACATCTTGGTAAGTTTCTAACGTTGCAGATTTTTACAAATTGATATTACATGTATACAGAAGCTTTCTAGTGAAAATGAAAATATAGAAATATAATAAGTACGTTTGCTACAGAAATAAATATAAATAAGATGTATTGACCAACATAAACTTTCGAAATATTTTGGTTGTGCATGTTAACGATGCAATTATCAAAATCGAAGCATATGAACAAATAATAATTTTCCTATATCTTAAAAATTATCACTTTCTGTTGACTCCCATATAAATACATAATTATATATATTTAATTACTTTTTGGATATTATTTAGAAAAATTTATATTAATTTATTTTATTCATTTTACTTTGACAAACAGAAGTATCTTTATCAAGCGTTAAGAAAAGTGATAAGAGGAAAATGCCATATTGATATTTATAATACATTTGAAGCATTCATTTTACTTTATAGGGAAGATTTAGGAAGTTCAAAGAACAGTGTTATTTCTGCACGAAATGATCAACAAAGTGGGTGAGTGTCAATAAAGTACAATGGGTAATTTTTTAACTGAAAATATAAATGCCTTCTCTTCATAGTATAAAACAATTTGTCCAGGCCTCTTGTCAGCTTTACCATGGTTTTTTAATGTATAAGTAAATAAGAAGATGATATGAGTTGATTTTTCTACCCTTTAAAAATGATAGAAAAAGTTTCAGTTAGGTTTCAGCACGCGGAAACCATATGATCGTTAAATTGACGTTTCAAAGAATTTTACGTTGGTTTCCGTTTTGCCTAATAGTTTCAGTAAACGGAAACCCTATATTTGCTGAAACTATTATATAGTTTCTGCATTGCGGAAACCATACAGGAAACCCCAACACCAAGTTTCAGCAAGGTTTCCATATAGTTTCAGTTTTGCGGAAACTGGACTTATCACCCCGTAAATTTAAGCCTGCAAAGATTCAATGTGCAAATTCAGAGAAACTTGTTCCCCACATTTGGGGTATTGTTGGTTGGAGTCAAACCGGTCAAAAATCAAAAAGCGCTTTTAAAGCTCTTTGTTTCTAGCAATGCAAATGTTTATCATAAAACCCTACTTTTTTCCATATATATTTATATGTATTTTACTTCAATTGGCAATTTAACAAAATGTTGTAATAGGATAAAACTATCTAGGTTTTTAAATTTATGACTGATCCTTTTGACTCTGCGCCAAAAAAAAAAACATTTCATTCATTTCCTTTTTTCCAAAGTGTGCAGGATTAAGTATATATGACATGTAGACATGTTATGACACAGCTTTTGTGAAAGCGGGAACGAAAAATCACGTTTTCGCTAAGTGAGTTATCGTCAGCAGCCCATAATTTGGTCATTATTTTATTTTTTTGTTACCGCAACCAAAAAAGAAGAAATATTAATGAACTCGATGTTTAAAAAAGACTTAGGTCACAAGGGACCAATCTATAAGGCACTCAAGTTGGCCATTTTAGATCCCCTCTATCTACAAATATCATATTATATAAATTTTCTGATGACATTCTTAAGGTACGATTCTTGTTTCTGACTAGATGAAATATTCAAAGTACATTTGCTTATTATATATGTCTTATATATTTAGAGATTTAAAAGACCATATTTTTCTTTCCTTATCACAATCGCATAAATTTGAATAGAAATGGTAAACCGCGTTTGAAAACTAGCAGGGACTATATTTTTGGCGTAATGGTTGCGTTTGAAAATATCTTCTTTTCTGCCTCTCAATACTAAGTATTATCAGAGAACAATGAATGTAAATATAAATTTTAACAGAATCAAAGATTTGAAGAATATTTCAAATGTTAGTTTAATGAATTAAAAGGGACTCAAGTTCCTAAATATATCAAATAAATCTAATTGTTCAAACAAACTAGAACTATGTTAGCTTTTAAATCCTTCCAATCTGAGTACAGATTTGAACCGAAATTCCATAAAAAGTATTTTTTTTCTCTCTTAAATCAAAAATTCCTGTTTTCATATTTTGTATCTTTATGCGACAACTTTACCATATGTGAAAATGAGGAAAATGAGGAAATAGTTAAAGGTACTTGGACACAGATTTGAAGTTATTATTTTCCCTATAATATTACGACTTATATATTTTAATAGCATTTCACACAAAAATTAATTAAAAATCTTATTTCGTTTTAAAGATATTGAAATTTCAAATTTTTCGGCGGGTTTGATTGACATATCCTTGCACTCTCACAAATTTAATTTTATTCTTAATCCTTAGAAAAAGTGGCATTCTCGTTTTGTATAAATGAAAAATATTTATACTACAATCCAGAAAATTCAGAGAAGACACGTCCGAAAGCAAAACAAACACACAATATATTGTCAGTCCGTGCAGTTTTGGTAAGCAGACTCTGACGATTGAACGCACCCGGTGAATTCTAAATTTAAACAATAACATAACTCGAGCCCTGTTTACAAAAACTGTGTACATAACACGAGTGTGCTCGATTTACTAAACTCTGCACGCATCTCTTAGTTCGGAATAACGATACTTGTGAAGGTGTTTTGCTTTCTAACATTTCTACTCTGAATAAAATTATTTTTCTTGATAAAAGTTTTAATATTTCTCATTAAAACACATCAAAATTGCCACTTTTCCTAAGGATTAAGAATAAAGTTAATATTCATTTGTTGAAAAAGGAAGAATTATATAATCAAACACATTAGAACGATGCAACCAAAAAGTCCACATATTACATGTATTCCTTATTTGTAAAAAAAACAATAGTCTTATTGTATCCATTAATTTCTATTTAATTTAAGATACTTTTTGGCAGCAAAGTATCATAATAAGTTAAAAAAATATTTGCTTAGTATGGGGTGTCTTTGGCCAAGATTCAAGGCCATATGCATTTAAAACTTTCCTACGAACTACACATCATAAGTCGCCAAACACTTAATTTCCACACAATTTTTCTAGTCTGTATTCTTAGCACTGTTCAAATACTAGTTTGCCTTATAAAACATTTATATGATACTAACTTTCCTTCATTTTTATGCCCCCTTTCGCAGAAGGGAGGGCATATTGCTTTGCTGCTGTCCGTCTTTCGGTCAGTCGGTCGGTCTGTCGGTCCACTTAGTTTCCGTTCATTTTCTTTGTACCGGTTACGGTAGCCTAGTGGTAGAGCGTTCGCTTCGTGATCGGGAGGTCCGGGTTCGATTCTCGTTCGTTGCTGCGTCATACCTAAGACTTAAACAAAGGTAGTGACTGTTCCTTCGCCAAGCGCTGGGCACTAGAAGTGGAAGTCACGGGTCCTTCGGATATGACCTTAAAAACGTAGGTCCCGTGTCACGGTAGGCGTTGGCACGATAAAGAACCCTCACTGCTCAATGACCCTGAGTGTCGAGTATAGGTCTAAATTTGAAGCCCTTCTACGGCATACGGTGACGTCTCCATATGAGTGAAACATTCTCGAGCGGAACGTTAAACAATATACAATCAATCAATCAATCATTTTCTTTGCAACCGTTTAACATCCTGAAATGAAATTTGGTATACAGATAAATATAGCCTATCACATGGATATATAGGTCGATTTCTGTTTTGGGTACGGTCGCACCATTTTTGACAGAATTATGCCTCTTGGACCTATCAGATGAATATCTAGGTCAACTTCTGTTTTTGGTATGATTGAGCCATTTTTGATAGAGTTATCCTTCTTGGACTTAGAAAAAATTCCAATTATTTGCAGTTTCCTTTCATTTTCTTTGCAGAGGTTGCACATACTGAAATGATATTTGGTATACAGATTTACAGAATAAATAACTTGGTCAATTTCTGTTTTGGGTACAGTCCCGCCACTTTTGACAGAGTTATGCTCTTTTGGACTTGGAAAAATTCCACATGGGGGGGGGGGGGGGGGGGGAGGGGGGCATAAGTGTTTTACAAACATCCCTTGTTATTGACTATATTTATTAATATCAGATCAATTTTTATTTCAGCGTTCCGATAGTTCCGATAGTTTTGGGTGTGATTTTTGCACTTGCACTGTTTACTGTCATTCTGGCTATTTATATTCTTCGGAGAAAACAAAAGCTTTGTTTCAAAACTGGTAGGTACTTCGAATTCATTTCAAATTTTGCCGAGAAATAACGTATTAAGGGGATGAAGGACCTTTGGCTGAAAAAAACCTGTCATTTAATCTTTATCATATTTTGTATATATCTTATTTAGTATGTCCTACATACTATAAAGCAGACATATCAATAGGTATACTTATTTCTGAGATATTGAGTGACAAATGCCATACCCCACAGTGTCTGAGCGGAGTTTTTATTCTCCGTGTTTCTGGGTCCATTACTCGGTCGATAATTGAAATTTTTCACCATAGATAAAAAATATACCAGAGGAAATGTGTCTTTTAAAATATTTTAGAGTATGAATAGGGTTAAAAATTCGAAAAAGCAAGATTCTTTTGTAACACCACATCTAGAGACAGAAATTTACGACTTTTTTAGGACAACTTAAACCATAAAAAATTAATTAATTTTGCAGAAAAATCCTATCATTCAATATTTGAAAATTTACGTCGAAGTTCAAGGTCGTCATTGTATTGATTAACTGTAAAAATATCGATTGGTGAAGCTTAGCTCAATATTGCACGGGGCAAAGTTAAACGAGTCATGATCATGAGAAAAACGTGTCATGTTTACATTTCTCGAGTACGGGAAAACCCAACTATGACGTCACACATTCTTGAAATAAGCGAAATAAGACAAACCCACAGAACTTTTCCGTCAACAACCATGTAAAAATATTTTTTGCGTTCTGAAATTTACAAAATACCCTACCATGTACATATTATGGCCCGCTTTTATGATTTTATACTACCCGTTTTTAGCTCACCTGAGCCGAAGGCTCAAGTGAGCTTTTCTGATCACATTTTGTCCGGCGTTCGTCTGTCCGTCTGTCTGTCTGTCTGTCCGTCTGTCTGTCTGTCTGTAAACTTTTTCACATTTTCGACTTCTTCTCAAGAACCGCTGGGCCAATTTCAACCAAACTTGCCACAAAGTATCCTTGGGTGAAGGGGATTCAAGTTTGTTCAAATGAAGGGCCACGCCCTTATTCAAGGGGAGATAATTGGGAATTAATGAAAATTTAGTGGTATATTTTAAAAATCTTCTTCTCAAGAACCACTGTGCCAGGAATGATGAAACTTATGGGGAAACATCCTCAGGTAGTGTAGATTCAAGTTTGTTCAAATCATGACCCCCGGGGGTAGGGTGGGGCCAAAATGGCCGACCAAGGTTTTACATAGAAATATATAGGAAAATTCTTTAAAAATCTTCTTCTCAAGAATGAAAAAGCCATAATTCATCATATTTATATGGAAGCATGCTCAGGTAGTGTAGATTCAAATTTGTTCAAATCATGACCCCCGGGGGTAGGGCGGGGCCAAAATGGCCGACCAAAGTTTTACATAGAAATATATAGGAAAATTCTTTTAAAATCTCTTTCTCAAGAATGACAAAGCCATAATTCATCATATTTATATGGAAGCATGCTCAGGTAGTGTAGATTCAAGTTTGTTCAAATCATGACCCCTGGGGGTAGTGCGGGGCCAAAATGGCCGACCAAGGTTTTACATAGAAAGATATAGGAAAATTCTTTAAAAATCTTCTTCTCAAGAATGACAAAGCCATAATTCATCATATTTATATGGAAGCATGCTCAGGTAGTGTAGATTCAAATTTGTTCAAATCATGACCCCCGGGGGTAGGGTGGGGCCAAAATGGCCGACCAAAGTTTTACATAGAAATATATAGGAAAATTCTTTAAAAATCTTCTCAAGAATGACAAAGCCATTATTCATCATATTTATATGGAAGCATGTTCAGGTAGTGTAGATTCAATTTTGTTCAAATCATGACCCCTGGGGGTAGAGCGGGGCCGAAATGGCCGACTATAGTTTTACATAGAAATATATAGGAAAGTTCTTTAAAAATCTTCTTCTCAAGAATGACAAAGCCATAATTCATCATATATATATGGAAGCATGCTCAGGTAGTGTAGATTCAAGTTTGTTCAAATCATGACCCCCAGGGGTAGGGCGGGGCCAAAATGGCCGACCAAGGTTTTACATAGAAATGTATAGGAAAATTCTTTAAAAGTCTTCTTCTCAAGAATGACAAAGCCATAATTCATCATATTTATGTGGAAGCATGCTCAAGTAGTGTAGATTCAAATTTGTTCAAATCATGACCCCCAGGGATAGGGCGGGACCAAAATGGCCAACCAAAGTTTTAAAAGATATATATAGGAAAATTCTTTAAAAATCATTTTCTAAAAAATAGCAAATCCATGATTGGGTCATTGGACTACTTTTGGATTTAAACTTTACAATAAAAAGCCATTAATATTTTATACTAGTCCTACCCTTGGTGCTCAGGTGAGCGATGTGGCCCATGGGCCTCTTGTTACCGTGTATGATCTTACTGAACTAAGACATCCACTATGACGTCAAAGACGCACTGGACGCGCAGAGTAGGGAAACGGCAGAGTGGATTAATCTATTCCGTAATTTGATAATATTTGCAAGAAATTTTGAATGTTTTCAGATATTTTTATACTAAATAGTGAACGCAAATAAACAGTCAAAAAAATTATACAAGTACTGTGGTTTCAATCTCGTTTTGTACATATTTTATCAGAGATTATGACGTAAATCAACTGAGTCACGTGACCATACATCCTTCATCCCCTTAAAAGATATAGGGATATTACTTTTCAATATATTTGCTAGACATATTTTAAAAATGTTTATATCTGGATGTCTGCTGATAAATACAAACCGTACTTGACATATTTTTATTCATTTAAAGGGGAAGAATTCCAAGCAATAGAATTAGCACCATTACCACTCGAAGGTATTTATTTTTAAAATATGTTTCGTAACTTCATTTATTATTTTTAATATTTGTATAATAAAAAAAAGACTTTCCAGAACATGGCTGAGTAATTTTGTCATTTTTATTGAGATGCAATTCAGTAAAAGAACATGTCAGTATTCAAAGGATTTATGACTGTTATTATAGATAAACCGCAAATGACTCTCGTTACAACAAAGTGAGGTCATATACATATTTATAAGTCAGAATCCATTCATGTAATTTTGAAAACCTGAGAGAGTTGATTTTAAAATAATGGTTACAGTATTTGTGAATGACTAGAAATTATTACCCACCAACTAACGTTCGACGAGCATTGCTATAATTTATGTTAAAACTTGACTGGCAGGCCAAGGCAACATGGCAGCTCTTTTTGTTTCCAAAATCATGTATCAATGTATTAATATGAATAAAAAAAATATTTCGATTTAGTCGATACATTTAGAGTGTTAATATATTTTTTTTTCCTTTAAAGTGGAAGATAGGATTGAAGAAAGAGAAGTTGCACTTCAAGGTATTTATTTTTGAAACTATATGGTCCGTAACTACATTTATTATTCTTAATATTTGTATATTTGAAGAAGACTTTCCAGACATGTCTGAGAGTAATTTTGTCATTTTTAGGTCACCTGAGTAAACTCAGGTGACCTATTGCTATCCGTTTTAGTCTGTCGTCGTGCGTTGTGCTTGAACATATTAACACTTTCAGTTTCTTCTCTGCAACCTCTGAACCAATTTCAACAAAATTTGGAATAATGCATCTATGGGTAAAGGGGAACAAAATTTGTGAATTTCATGATTCCTGCCCCCCTGGGGCCTAAGTGGTGCGGCCAAAACCACTAAAATTAATGCAATCTTTAAAAATCTTTTTTTAACTCCTGGACATCAAGCAGTCAAACTGTTTGAATGATTGTAACGAGCACTGATCGAGTCCTCTACAAAAATCGTGAAATTCATGGCCCTGGGGTCAGGGGTTCTAATGCAAGGGCGGGGCTAAAACGAGTATATAGTGAAAATACATTATTTCTTTAAAAATCTTTATTTTAGCTCACCTGAGCTATAAGCTCAAGTGAGCTTTTCTGATCACCCGTTGTACGTCGTCCGTCCGTCCATTCGTCTGTAAACTTTTCACATTTTCAACTTCTTCTCAAGAACCACTGGGCCAATTTTAACCAAACTTGGTACAAAGCATCCTTTGGTAAAGGGAAATTTAAATTATTGAGATCAAGGGCCAAGACCCCTTCCAACGGGAGATAATCAAGAAAATACCAAAATAGGGTGGGGTCATTAAAAATCTTCTTCTCAAGAACCACTGGTCCAGAAAAGCTGAAACTTAAATGAAAGGATCTTGGGGTAGTGTAGATTCTAAATTGTTCAAATCATGACCCCTAGGGGTAGGTTGGGGCCACAATAGGGAATCCAATTTTTACATAGAAATATATAGGAAAAAACTTTAAAAATCTTCTTCTCAAGAACCACTAGGCCAGAAAAGCTGAAACTTACGTGGAAGCATCCTGGGGTAGTGTAGATTCTAAATTGATCAAATCATGATCCCCGGGATAGAGCGGTGCCCCAATAGGGAATCCAAGTTCTACATAGAGATATACAGGGAAAAAACTTTTAAAATCTTTTTCTCAAGAACCAATAGGCCAGAAAAGCTGGAACTTATGTGAAAGGATCTTGGGGTAGTGTAGATTCTAAATTGTTCAAGTCATAACCCCTGGGGGTAGGGTGGGGCCACAATAGGGAATCCAAGTTTGACATAGAAATATATAAGGAAAAAACTTTTAAAATATTCTTCTCAAGAACCACTGGTCCAGAAAAGCTGAAACTTAAATGAAAGGATCTTGGGGTAGTGTAGATTCTAAATTGTTCAAATCATGACCCCTAGGGGTAGGTTGGGGCCACAATAGGGAATCCAATTTTTACATAGAAATATATAGGAAAAATCTTTGAAAATGTTCTTCTCAAGAACCATCGGGCCAAAAAACCTGAAACTTATGTGAAAGGATCTTGGGGTAGTGTAGATTCTTAATTGTTCAAATCTTGACCCCTGGGGGTAGGGTGGGGCCACAATAGGGAATCTAATTTTGACATAGAAATATATAGGAAAAATCTTTGAAAATCTTCTTCTCAAGAACCATTTGGCCAGAAAAGCTGAAACTTATGTGAAAGGATCTTGGGATAGTGTAAATTGTGGTAGGGAGTGGTCACAATTTGTATAACAAAGGGGGGAAATCTGTTAAAGAAAAGCATGGCCAAAGTTTCTCAGGTGAGCGATGTGGCCCATGGGCCTGTTGTTGCTCCTTGGTATAAAATAAACTAACTAACTACATGTATATACATAGTTATGA